CCAAAACATAAATAAATCCAAATCTATATCATCAAACATGCAAAAAACAATCTAAAATGAACAACAATTACACATAATACATGGCTCGATGCAGTTTGATGAGCTGATTCTGTATATGGTATTGGGTTTGGTTGAAAGATTTTTACAGAAATAGATACAAATTACCTTTAAGACCATTTTTTAAAGCGAATCGTCATTCAAACTTTTTTTTCTATATTCAGAAATAATGATTTAGAAAAGACAATTTCCTTTTTAAATTGAAAGCAACCTTCCACTGATATTAAAAAAGTTTTTATTTCATTGATCACAAACTTCCTTCAACTTTTTTACTTTTTGTGATCAATCTGTAGCGATAAATCATCTTCTTAACAAATGGATTCCGAATCATATTCTATGACTTCAAGAGAGAAGTAAATTTATTAGGCATAATAGACTTGTTGATGAATATCAATCACTTCATAAGGCCAAATAATTTCTGTTTTAGGCAAATCATTAATACATTGAATTTTATATGCGTCCAATATAACGGGACTTGTGCTTGCCAATGAATCGCCAATCGATAGTAATTTACCAGCAACCATTATATAATGACCTGAAAATTAAATAGCTACATAATGGTAAAGGATTCTCATATAAAAATGTCAAATTAATATACCTTCTTCAATTAATGTCCATACATTTGGCATTCTTGTACAGTTGTGTACTTTTCCCAAGCCCGTACTATCTTCTATGAGCAATGTATCATCGTTTTTATTAATCTTAAAATAAATATTTGAATCATTTGTATACAATACATGTTTATGTATTTTCTCTTACATTGACACATAGACCTTGTATCCAAACATAATCAAATGAATAATTTTTTCCAAAACGTGCAATTGTCCAGGAATATTGATCATTATTGATTGTTTTCTTGGCTTTTTTCAACTCACCTATAAATGATTTTCGAGCATATAGAAAAAAACCACTTGATTTCTCATTATTTGATTCAGGTAAAAAATTCAGCCATTACTATAATTGGATTTTATACACATCATTTCAACCGTTCATATATTTTATTCAACAGTAGTTCAAGTTCATAATGAGACATAAAAAATTAAAATCATGGAAAAAAAGACTAACAGTTGGAATGAAGAGAAGTGAAAAACTAAGTAAATAGAAGTGTCAAATCTAATTGAAGAAAAAACAATTGTCAACTAACCATATTTTTACGCGTCAACAATACAGTAGAGACAAGAGAAAATGAATTAAACTATGAGAAAACAATTTAAACTCAGTCACAACAGAAAATTAATGAAAGAAACAACTCAATTTTTTCCGTATCATAAAAACATTAACAAAAAACAAAGTTTAAAAAAAAAGAAGAATACAGAAAAAATGAATTTTAAAAAAGTGAACAAATAATGGACGGTAAATAAAAACTTTCAACTTATTTTACAAAAGATCATAGAAATAGTCTAATCCTTGACCAATTTCCCATATCGTAATGCCCACATTTAATTTTGTTGCCAATTGTAATCTATCATAGATTGATTTTAAACTTGGATAAAAAATAATTGTATCGGGTAATGGTGGTTGTTCATTTGGTGATAATTTTTTCTGTTGTTGTTTTACTTGTATAGCTGTTACGTGTTCATGTGATCGCGTATCACAGGCAATCATTATTGAGTTTAAATGCTGTTTTAAAAATTCGATATAATCACGACCCATAAGTGATTGATATTTGTATTGTTCTTGTTGTTGTTGTTGTTGTTTAGGTTTTAATGAAGTTGGTAGAACACGATCATATTTGTAACCATAAAAATTTAAACCTAAAAGTAATTTTGGTACTGTATGAGATTCAATATCTGATAATAAAAACTTTTCCATGGTCATTGGAACCCATTCTAAACAAATAGAATTAAAAATAAATTCAAAGAACGTTGATTTAATGATACTTTTTACCTAATGGTGCCACTGGACCAGGTCCTTTTTGATTTGGAAAATCATATGTCATTATGCTGAATCCATCTATATGATCCATTAGTTGTTCAAAATCATTTTTATCAAAAACTTCATCAATGGCGGTACAGCTAGAAAACACTGTTTATTTGATGCATGTAATTTTTCACTAATATCAATAAGAATATGATTTAATGTTGATTTTGATGAACCATGAAATTGTGACAATAATTCAAGAACATAACCATCTAATTGATGTTGTTGAGTATATTCAGCCAATGTTCCAGCTAATTTTTGTTTTTCGTGTTCCGATTGAAATAGAGCGTGTATATGTTCAACAGGCCATTTTTCAAAGATAATACGTGGAACAATTTGAATTATAGGTTTCAATTTTCGTAATGTCATCATCCATTTTTCATCAATATCATGAGTACCGCTTATTTCGTACGATTCAACACCTGAATACAAAAATAAAAGAGAAAAGTGTTTTTCTACTTGAATTAGACACACATCTTACCATTTCGTTTTATTGATAACCAAACAGGACTAATATAATCAAATTTTGAGATAAATAATTTAGCTGCATCATATCCGTATGGATTCCATGGTGTAACATAGACGACAATTGGCTGAGAAAATTGTCTTGCTGTTTCATTTAAACATTTTTCACAATAGTATTGATGATTGTTGACAATTGTTTGACCATCCACTTGTTCTTGAATAAGATTACGGTGAATTACATCGGTTGTGGGTTTTTCAACAGGTTTTGAAGATGAAACTGACTGTTGACGACTTTTAGAAGAAGTTTGTGATGAAGAGTCGGTGACTGTTGTTGTTGATTGTGATTGTTTCTTCAGTTTTCGATCGCCGGGTCCCAAAGTACATTCTACAAGAACAAAAAGAGAAAATAAAAAGATAACCACATTTTGACAAACTGACAAATAATGCATAACAACGATCTAGAATACAACAGAAAATTAATATCGATAGAATGTGTATCTTCTTTTTTATTGTTTAACTATTACAATGTAATTCAAACATCACGCAGTATAAAAAGAAGTATATTTCAGTTCATTTTTCAAATTTGTGTATAAACAAACGTATTATCTAACACACTGTATTTTTTTGGATAATAAACGATACCGTTTATTTTCTCAAAAAAACAATTAATAAAAAAACAACTATTTTATCTATCATTGACCATGATGCATTAGATGATACACATACTTTTATTTCTCTCTTAACAATTTGACTAAAATATTCTTCTTCTATGTCTCTCTTTTGCTTTCATTCAGCTGTTGGTCAGAGCTAACTTTCGACATCTTTCGCATCTCCCATCAAACGTTTCGATATCAACAGTACAGTTCTACTTGACATAACTGGTACTTTATAAAGTATTTTCAAACAATTTTCAATTTCTGATAAATCTTAAATAATTTATTTCCTTTAATCTCGAATTATTATCCTTTTCAAATTCAGAGACTGATGACTAGATCTTGGATAATTCTCGATCGAAAAGAGGTGCCGACTTGCGGGTGTTGCCAATCAAGAGCCAAGATTTGAGCGCATATTTTCATGAAAAGTTAAGCTTAAGAGCATTTTTCCCAAATCGAGTGTTTGGAAAAAGAGATCAAGCCTCCAAAAAGTTTTCTTTAAACTCCAGAGTCGGTGTATGGTGACTTGGAGTAACCTGCAAGTCTCATGAAACATATGTAATCGACCACACTGGATCTAGTTGCAAGGCATACTCTTCAAATGATAGTTCAAAAATCTGATGGAAACTAAAATTTACGAAAACTACAGTTTCCAGATCAACTAGTTTTAAAAACTCATATCTAACTCAAAATACATTAAAATGATCTCACAACTTCAGCATATAGTTAATCTTCTAAGCTAAACGTAATTACAGGATCTATAATTTGAAAAAATAATTTTTTGTTTAAAGGGATTCGGAAAATCCTTCGGAAAACCACAATACTTTTAAAACATTTGTCATCAATCAGATATAAAACCTAATACCACGCTCGAGCCTGTGAAAATCAAGATTTCACTTGATTCACAATTTGAACAGGATACTTCGAGATATTTATGCATGAAAAAATCAATATATTCTTATTGTAAATTTTTGAGGCCTGTTCTCCTTTTCCTAACACTCGACTTGAGAAAAATACTTTTACGCTTATCTTTCCATAAAAATATGCGCTCAAATCTTGACTACTGATTGACAACAGCCGCAAGTCGGCATCTGTTTTCGATCGAAAATTATCCTAGACATAATCATGAAAAATGATTATGATGTGAAAAATATGATAGTGTCTATTCTTTTCTTTGTAACGGGTGGGACAAAATAATGAGGCAAAATCATTCTCTTAAGTGCACTCCGAAGACTCCGTTCTAGGCTCAACTGATAGAAAATTTTTCGCTCTACAGACTCATTATCTTCTCTCATTACATGTTATTTCATTATTTAAGAAAATAGTGCAAAGTAAGGTCAAGTAAGAAGCACAGCTACAACGGAAGGAACAGGTTGTAATATCTTTTGCATTCGATATATCCTAAGTGATAATTGGTTCTTTAATAATGTTTCTGTTCGCTATTCATCATAGACACTTTACATGAAGAATGCGTCTTCATTTGATTAATTCACATTGAAAAAATAAAATTTTACCTAACATTTTGTTTATAGTAACGGATTGTCCTAAAATAAGGAGATTATTTATGTATCTCTGTTTGTCTGTATACCGTAGAGTTCAGAAGATGGAATATTTTTTGCTCTACAAAATCTTCCATATCTCACACTTACACTACATTGTTTGGTTAGTCTGTTTCCTGCTTTTTTCAAAATCGCATGTTGCCTCATGTGACAAAACGGAGTAGTGTAGTTTGAATGATCACCCTAAATTCGCTGAAGATTTTTATGCATCCTCTTCTCTCAATTACCACATTATTTCTCGAAAAATTACAAAAATTAAAATGCCATCAAAATTTTGATAGTGAATCGCAGTTGTGCTGCTTACCTGTCCTTATTTTGCACTATTTTGAAATAACATGTAATAGGAGATGATAATGAATTTTGTAGAGCGAACAATTCTCTATCGATTGCGTCTGGAATGGAGTCTTCAAAGTGCATTTAAGTGCGTAAAAAAGCGAATGATTTTGTCCCATTTATTCTGGCTCTTCTAGGCATATACTGAGACGAGAAGCTTCGATACTGCAGTCTGGAGTCTCGATTAGTCTCGATATGACTGAGATTTTTTCTGTAGCTGCTCTTATTACTTGTACAGAACTTTCTCATCTGCTGAGAAAATCGAGCAACCTGTTTTGTGTAGCAGGAATTTTTCTGATTCTAATAAGATGGGTGAAAA